CTATCTATCTATCTATCTATCTATCTATCTATCTATCTATCTATCTATCTATCTATCTATCTATCTATCTATCTATCTATCTATCTATCTGTCTGTCTTTAATTCCCCTGTCGTCCCATGTCAGTTGTCAGCTTTTATTCGCCTTTTACCTTTCAACCTCTTTTGACCCTCTTTCTCATCTTTCATTCTTCCTTTCTCTGCCCATCTTTTCCTGTACACACCCTGATCTCAATCACCCTCATCACATCTCTAATACATATATACCCATCCGAATAGTCAATGGTTAATAATAAAGAAAGACATCTCTTTTTTTTCCTTCTCACCGTACCCCCTTTTTCTCTCATTTTCCAGCTACTACTGCAGTTAACTCTTTTTCGTTTATTTCTTTTTAACCACCCTCGTTCCTTTCCTGTCCTTCCTCCTCACTGGCTCCTCTCACCCTCTTTCCCACTCTTCCTATCATTCCCTTTCTCCTCACTCGCTCCTTCTCATCCTCTTCCCCACTGTATCCCATCTTCCCCCTTCCACAACCACTGCCATCGTCAATCCTAATATCGAGTGCACACTGCCAATCAAACTCATCTGATTGAGTCGAAGCTAGCTAGATTTCCCTTCATAGACGGGGCAAAAGCTACCATATTGGAACGATTCGGCCGAATTCTAATATTCCCCTGTGACCTTCAGAACCAAACGCGTTTGTTTTTCAAGGTTGCGAATCGAATCAGTCGTGCTGTGCCAAAATGGCAGCATTTGCCACTTCATGAAGGAAAATCTAGCTAGCGCCGACTCTATGAGATTGATAGTGAGCCCTGGGTATAAACGTTCGACTCCCACCCACCCCTTTCCACCTTTCCTCTCATTGAGAACGTGTATTCTGGTCATTGTTTAGCTTTGTAGTTTTGGTAGGTAAGTGTTTACGGCGCACGCAACTGCACAGTTGCCCCGACGTCTAGCACAGAAAGGATTAAACAGTAGGTTTTTTTACCCTATCCGTACGCCCTGGGGTCATTTTGTACCTTCGGAGCTGTATTCTTCACACTTTTGAATACTTCTAGTACGAAGGTCTCTTTGAAACTTTCAGTATTTCTCAAAAAATCATTTTGGACAAACTGTAATGCAAAGAGTACGGGTCGGATTTTCGAGCAAACTTCCTCTTTGGAATGAGGTGGCACAGAGTTCCCAACACCGTACGGATACGATAGTAAACCACGACGCACGGAGCAACACTCACCTCTTCCCTCAGGGTGTGGTCAAAGTGCAGTGGGAGACGTCTGTAGTGCAGGTCTAGCGTGGACAACTTCTGCTGCTCGTACAGCTCGTCCGGCGTGAGCACACTGGACATTTCCTTCTCCACCAGGGGGTCAGCGATGTCCTGGTACACCTTGAAGCCAGACATTACTATTACGTTTGAGGGGTTTTTTGTTTGTTTTAGTAGGCCTAAGTGTTTTACGGCACTTGCAACACAATAATGTCATGTAAATTTAGTTTTAGTAAGAGCTTTACGGCACTTGCAACACAACAAGGTCATATAAGTGTCGAAGATTAAAGTGTTACAAGAGAGTAACAAACACACAAAAAAGATAAGGACGATAGATGTTTCATAGGAAAGAAGGAGCAAACCACACCAGAGCACCTGCCAACCACCCACTTTTTGTTTTAGTTAGCCTAAGTGTTTTACGGCACTTGCAACACAATAATGTCATGTTAGTACACCTTAAGACCGGACATTACCATTGAGTTTGAGTTTTTGTTTTAATCACTTGCAAGATAATAGGTCATGTAAGTACGCCTTAGACCTGACATTACCATTGAGTTTGAGTTTTTGTTCTGGTAGTAAGTTGAATTTCTTTATTTTATTTTTATTATTATTATTCAAGTGAATTTCTAAATACAAGAAACACAGTTTTACTTGATTAAAACATGATCTATGCAATCAGGTGCAATGTTTTGTTTTCCCTTTGTTGTTTGTGGATGGTACTGTAAAACTTAATTTTTTTTCAAGAACACAGCAATACAAAACGGCAACCAACACATTTTGGCAAATGAAAATGCTCATATTTCATTGTAAATGCAATACACGTCGATGCAATTTCGATCAATACATGTAATTAAATCTAAAGAGAAAATGATCTCGTGCTTTAGATGATAATTCTTTTCAGTTTGTAAACACTTCAATCAAATTACCTGATCATAATAATATGTCTTATTTCTTTACTTATGCTAAATAAAAACAATGAAGTATGAAATGGTACAGGTTTAACGCCCCTATCAACATTATTAGGTAATCTAAGAGGTTGGACTTCCGAGTCAAACGTCAATCTCCCAAAGGACCGAGCCAATGGGAAATTCGCGTAAAGTGACTTTTCCTAGGACACAACGTCGGACCGAGCTGAGGCTCAAACCCTCGAACCTACAACCTCACGACTGCAAGTACGGTAGCCCAACCACTAGGCTACCGACGCCACATGTCAAATAAAAAAGAACTATCTTGCAAAAGAATATGTATTATGAACCAGTTTAATTGATTAATAAGTTTAATAGGAATCTTTCAAAAAGATTCAGCATTGCATGATGTCGAGCAAACGAGAATAAAAGTTAATATGAATGATGAAAAATGATATTCTTTAACGGGCAAAGAACTCTAGTAAGTTCCAAGGTTAATGAACGCCCTAATCAACTATGACGCCATAGCGTAAAATGTTATGTTTTCGAAATTCCCACAGGAAATACAATTCTTTGGGCTCAATAAAAAAAAAATTCCCGCAATGTGAAATATCAGAAATGAACGCTTTTATAAGCAGGCAGCTTACCTTCCACGTCTTTTTTCCCTTAATTTCCTTTCTGATAGCAAGCTCTGCTTCCTGCGAAAAATATGTAACATTAATTAATGCAAAAGCAACGTGGTGCAGCGAAGAGCAAAATATATGAGCAAGAGCAAAGCAAGTCAAAGACCAGATCTCAAAGCCCCATTGCAACTCCCAATTAAGTAGCAAATACATCGATAATGAACATCGCAGAATCCACGTAAATGAGAAAAAAAAGAAAGTCTTCTTAAAGAAGAAGTCCATCATCATCATCATCATCATCATCATCATCATCATCATCATCATCATCATCATCGTTTGGAAAGCGGAGTAGGAGGGAGAGCCTTGTTTTAATTTCCGATAAAATAACATAACAATATAAAATGTTTACAATTTGTTAATAGACAAAGCTCAACGTTTCGCCTCTTGGGCTTCCCCAAAAGCAACTGAGAGAAAAATTAAATGAGCGATGTATACTAGCAGGGAAGTGGGCCTAATGAGAGTCTTAAGATTACGTGTGGTTACAGGCTAGAGCTAGACGGAAGTAACTTAGAGAAAATCATCATCATCATCATCATCATCATCATCATCATCATCATCATCATCATCATCATCATCATCATCATCATCATCATCATCATCATCATCGTCATCATCATCATCAACGTCACCACCACAAGCACCATCACCGTCACCACCACAACCATCATCACCACCTTCACAACCACCATCACCACCACCAATACCGATACCACCACCATCACCACCAATACCACCATCATCACCATCAACAGCAAATTTTTCTCGTGTAGAGAGAGAGAGAGAGAGAGAGAGAGAGAGAAAGAGAGAGAACGTGTGTGTGTGTGTGTGTGTGTGTGTGTGTGTGTGTGTGTGTGTGTGTGTGTGTGTGTGTGTGTGTGTGTGTGTGTGTGTGTGTGTGTGTGCCTAATTTGCAAAACCATTTCCAAAGTCTTACTTCCAGTTCTTTTCCAGACGAGCCCACTGAGGACACTGGCTCAGCGATGAATGACGCGTCTCTGACGCAGTACGTGACGTCATCACACTCCAGCACGTAGTCAGATCGGAGGTTGACCACAACTACGTCACTGTAGCCTTGTTTATGCTGGAGGAGATGGTTGACCACTTTGGACAAGCCCTGGACAAGGATGAAATAATAATATTATGCAAATGTGTCACGGCGCGGTGGAATCAGGCGCTCGTCAATTTTTGGGCATGTTGTGTACTTTTCATCATCTCAAAGCTTTTTCGTTTGTCTGCTTTCGAGTACCGGACTTTCTTGACTAGAAATCGAGATATTTTAGGTTGAAGGAGGTGGAGGTCGTCAGGTTTCAGAGATAAAATTAACGAGAAAATGGACGCCAAAATTTTGTGACTTCGGTAGTTTGAGAGTCCTTGGAAACTACAAATTAATTTACATTTCTTGATCCTTTAATCAACGTTTTCGGTAAAGTCTACAAAGCAATGTCTCGTTTAATGGACAAAAAAGATGTTGAGCCAATATAAGAAAATTCGAAAAAAAAATTGCCCAAATTTCAGAAATATGCCAGTTTCTTTGATTAATATGACGTGCGCCTGATTTCACCACGATACCTCATATAATAATGTAAATTAGATTCAAGAATCGTATGATAATACAAATGTACCACAGTCGCTGATGCGTAAAAACACACAAACACACGAGTAATATAAAGATATATTTCTGTTATTAGTTTTAGTAGAGGTTTTACGGCGCTCACAACTGCATAAGGTCATGTGAGCGCCAAGGGGTGGATGTCAACAGAGAAGTCCTTATAGGGAATAAGACTCTGCTCACCTCTCTGGCTTCAACAGCACAAGGTTTGCTTCGACTATCAAGGCACCCAGGAAATAGTGGGTCACAAGAGTGTGGCAAACATACAAAAGAAGTAGAGGAAAAATGTCAATAGCAAGGATTAGTAAAGAAAAAGCAGCAGTTCCCTGCTCTAGATCAGGCACAGTTATGAGCATGACATTGATGAATCAGCCCATTTACAATTCTACCGTGCATGGACGAGAAATGTCCCCCCTTTATAATGGCCTAAAGACACTTCAGTCAGTGGCACTGCACCGGGGGGAGGGGGGGTTATATATTATTTCTGTGCATACATTCACGAAGGATGTTTCTTTAAAAAAAAAATTCTAACTACAATGATAGGGAGGTACATACATTTTTTTGTCATTAGTTTTGAGAAAACAAAAGCAATATCGACACAATAATGGCCGCATAATGTAGGGAAGAAGCAAGGAAGATAGACAGAGACAACAGAAGGACAGAAAATAAATAGAATCTATTGGTGCCAACCAATCGCAATTTTTGTATAACATCTATTTTTTCACACAAACTTGCTAACCACAAGAACACCTTTTTCCATTTTCGGAAGGTATTGAAAACTGAGGTAAGATTTCATTTCCACATTCTCCGAGTGTGTGTAATAGAGAAGAGGGGAGAGAGAGACAGAGAGACACAGAGAGAGAGAGAGAGAGAGACAGAGAGACAGAGAGAAGGTGTATGTGTGAAAAAGGAACAAAGAGGGACAGAGAGACACAGGGTTACAGAAGCAAAAACAGAGAGAACATATGTGTGTATGTGTGTGTGTGTATATATATGTATGTGTTTGTATGTGTGTGTATGTGTGCATTCGTGTGTGTGTGTGTGTGTATGTGTGTGTGTGTGTGTGTGTGTGTGTGTGTGTGTGTGTGTGAGTGACCGCGTCTTTGTGATTGTTGGAGGCGTGTATTCTCGGACTCGAGACTGTGGTGTAAAGCAAAATCAAAACGCTTTGTAAACAAAGAGCAAGCAGCGGAGACTTCTTACATTCCGAGTTGGCTGAGCCATGCCAAAGACGGGGAGCCCCATGAGGCGCCGGAAGTTGGAGACCTTCACATCCATGTGAGAGCTCAGTACGTCCAGCCCAATGTAGTCGTCCGCTACCTGAAAATAAATGTAAGTTGTTGTTTTTTCTTTTCTTTTTCTTTGAAAGTGTTTTACGGTTTTACGGCGCTCGCAACTGCATAAGGTCATATGAGCGCGCGGCACACATTAAACATTTTCAGTTGGTACATTTTGAATTTTGCTCGGGTGGATCCTACTCTTATCGATACGTGAGTTTGTTCAGTGTTTAAGGCCACTGACCCACATCACATCATAATCTCGTAAAATACTCATTTGTTAAATAAAATTTTCATAGTGAAAGAGAAAGTACATGTAGATATGGTGTGGAACAGCAAACTAGTACAGACGAATTAACGTGTATAACTGCTGTCTTTCAGCCACACCCCTGATCCTCTGGTAGGATAGATCTACACCTAGCCTTCTCGGAAAAGGGGCCAAAAATCTCGAAGGTCTCGAATGCAAGAGTAGGCTTCGGCTGCCCCCGAGCAAAATTCAAAATTTCCTACCAACCGAAAATGATTGGTGTGTCCCGGGCGCTCATATGACCTTAAGCAGTCGTGATCGCCTTAAAACACTTACCCCCCTAAAAAAAAAGATAAAGAAAGAAAGATAAAATTACAAGCCCCTTTTATATACCTGTGTGCATTAACAGTAAAACAACATTAGTTTTACCGGACTACCTCGCTCACAGGTGTCGAGCCACTAAGTCGCTACAGTTTTAACACCCCCATCGACATCCTTTAGATAATTTAGGGTAGGCTTCTGATCCTGCATGACAGAGGTAACCCGGGCTGAGAGGGAAACTACGTCACAGCAGAACGACGGAAATACATGATTAAAACGTTCTCCCCACTCGAGAATCGAACTCGGGTCTTTGAACTCGAGAATTGAACTCGATGAAAGAAAACACAGGGTATGACAGCAAAGCGCCTAACAGCTACACCACAGACGCTGGTCGCCGGCACCTGAGGACATTTGACCACATAAAACTTGTACAGTTTAGTTTTTAGTAAGAGTTTTACGGCACTTGTAACACAATAAGGTCATATAAGTGCCAAAGAATAGATGTGTTACAAGAGAGTTTTGTTTTTGTTTTAGTAGAGGTTTTACGGCGCTCGCAACTGCATAAGGTCATATGAGCACCAGTACAAGAGAGTAACATACACAAAAAAGGAGAAGTGATAAGGACGATATATGTTTGATAGGAAAGAAGGAGCAAACCACACCAGAGCACCCGCTAACCACCCACTACTGGTTCAGTGGTATGGGGTTGTATAAATTTCACACCAATCTCAACCTGAGAGGAGCCTCACTTTTGCCGCAGGGACAGGCAAGTTTACAGTGTGCCCAAGCTATGGTTGCTTTGCTTATTTCATGATGCAGAAATACGTTGCCAGCGAGAGAGGGAGACAGAGAGAGAGAGAGATAGAGGAAGGGATGGATGGAGAGAGAGAGAGAGAGAGAGAGAGAGAGAGAGAGAGAGAGAGAGAGAGAGAAGAGAGAGTGGTTTTGAAATGTAAGAAATCATAGATAAAATAGGCTCCCTTTGAGTCTAAGAGCCAAAGTCGTCTGGAAATAGTTTGGGCTATTGACTTCAACCCTATTTGTCGCTTATATTTTATGCTGAGTCTGCTGAAAATCTTTTTTTTTTTTTTAGGATGAAAGAAAACTTTTGAACTGAAGATCTTTCCTATTTGTATCCAAAGAAATGCAGATAAGACTGACTAATGCACAGACATAGATAGCAATTCTATAACTATAATACCGGTATAAAATGACGCAGCGATATTTTCATTGTTCTGGGAACGTCGGCATTATGAACGTACTGGGACACCGGTTAAAACCTGTGCTTGCAGCACAAACAAACGTTGTTTTTATAGTTGGATTCTTAGATCAAACGCCAACTTTTGATCGAAGTGAATCATAAAAGCTGAGAGCGATGGAAACTACTCATCTATGGACATAGCTCAGAAATACAAAACCTCTATGTTTTCTACGGTATTCAAACAAGGGTTGGAGAGATCGCAGCCCATAATGATACGTCTAGCTGAAGCGGAGAGGGCACAGAGCAGATGAACTGAAGGTTACTAAATATTCCAAAAACTGTTGGGAACAGCAACTAGGTTGCCAACTTCCTATTCCCAAATTGTTGCTGTTAATGTTGTTGCTTTTTTAAATACGGTATAATACGGTTTATCCAACAATAATTTATAGAAGTGCACCCCCTAAAAAAACCCAAAACAAAACAAAACAAAACAACCATCCCCATCCCCGCCCTAAAAAAACCCAACCTTTCTAACGGATTGGGTTATGGCATTTTATTGGCACACCAGAATGAAATCAGAATGATTGAAAGGTTATTTTATTTGTGTGTAGTCTGGGTTATTTCTCTTGTCAGATAGCAGCAATAAATGAATTTCCCACATAATAATAAAGAGTACATTGTGGGGCTGGGTGACTAGTTTTTTCTCTTTCGTGCACATGGGACCTCTGGTGTATTTCCCTTAGTTTCAAAAATTTTGGAATTTAAAAAGTCAAAAGAAAGAGGGACAGAGGAGAGAGAGAGAGAGGGAGAGAGAGAGAGAGAGAGAGA